CAAATTGAAATTTCTATTGCTAAACTTCGTATACTTTTAAATGATATTGAATTAATATCATATGATATTGAACAATTAAAACAAAATTCTTCAGAAGATCAAAATTCAATATCATCAATAAATACTCAATGGGAAGAATTACTTAAACAAGCAACTGATAAATATAATAATTTAGAAAATAAATTAGAATGTATGAAATTAAAACAAAAAACAATTGATCATATTTATTATGAATTAGATTTAATTGATAAACAAGTTAATGAAAGTACAATAAATACAAAATTTCCTTTACTTGTTGAACGTTTAGAATTTATTGAAGAAGAAATCAATAAAGAATTTGTAAATGATAATAATAATCAACAAATTGAAGAATTAAAAAGTAAGTTATCAATAGTTCACAATTTATGCAACATTTTTTTGTCATGATTGAATAGAAATTATTGAGTTACATATCAAAACAGTGTTTTTTGTAGTGAAACTTAGAGATGGGAGATTAAAAAGCTGTTAGCACAATCTCTGTTGGATCAGTTCGGAAGGGACAGAGAATTCAAATTTTCGTCCGATACAAACTGATTTTCTTAACAATCAAACAATATTTTTCAAGAAGCATCCATAGTTTATTTCCTCACAACATATTGATACTTGTGGTGGATTTGAATTTTTATAGACTTTTCTGACTTTTTTTTTTCTGAAAAACCATTATCCAACAGCATCTGAAAAAACTCTATTTGAATTTTGAATTGATAACATTCGCACAAAAATGAAACATTTTTAATGTGTATTTTTAGAACGTTTAATTGATGTTAAACAACGAACATTATCTAAAGGACAAGAATTAATTGAATTAGCTCATTCAATTGAATTATTTCATTCATCATTACAAAAATTTACTGAATGGTTAAATGAAACAGAACGTTATTTAAATAATTTAAAACCTGTTCAACGTCGTTTTGCATTAATTCAAACATTATTAAAACAAATTGATGATCATGAATTATTTCAAACACAATTACAAACATATAAAGAACATCTTATTGATTTAGATAAATTAGCAACACATTTAAAATTTGTTTCACCTAAAAATGATTCAATTTATATAAGAAATTCTTTAATAGCTGTACAAACACGTTGGCAAAAAATTCTTACACGTACAACGGAACGAACAAAAGAATTACAAAAAGCTTTTCAAGAAACTAAAAAAGTAATTAAAACAATTTTTTAAAATAATTTTATTTTGATTGAATTCTTAAATAGACAATTCGACCTGAAGTAACAGATATTGAAAGAATTAAAAATGAAGTTAATCGTCAAGCATCACTTTGTACATGTTCAAAGAAATATGATGTACAACAAGTTTCTGAAGGACGATATCGAGTAAATAAGATAAACAAAAAAGAAAAACAACAAAAATAAAAAATAAATTATGTTTAGTTTGGTGAATCACAAAGTCTTCGTCTTGTTCGTATACTTCGATCAACAGTTATGGTTAGAGTTGGTGGTGGTTGGACTGCACTTGATGAATTTCTTGTTCGACATGATCCATGTCGAGGTAAGATATTTTATATATATATATACACTTGTTTTTTATGTATCATATGGAGTACTACAAAAGTTTTCATATTAGATAAAGTGTTAGTCTATATCATGTTTAGGTTAAGAAAACACTTTCAAATGATATCTTATGAAAAACAAAATGTTAGCAAGGCAGCTATGCTTTCATATGAAAAGAATTTAAATGAAAATTTCCATTTGTTTGAATCTATTTAGAATGATCATTGATGAATTTATCTAGATATTTTTTTACATACTGCAGATTCACATGAACCCATAAATGTATATATATTTAAATAATAAACAATTAAAACTTTAGAAAAAGAAATAATGGAAAACTTTTGTAGTGCACTATATAATAAAGACTTTTTCTATACAGGAATGCATGTCTACAGTCAATTTTTGGAGACTGTTGCTGCAGGTACCTTTTTGTCCTATTTTCGTATCTTTTTTTTCCTTAAAACCTAAATATGCTTTTATTTTGCTTTGCTTCTTTATACAATCACATATTGCAGGACGTCTATATTATATGCCAGAATATCAAACAGGTGACAGTAGGTTTTGGCACTGAGTGTTGTGTTGTTTGGTTTTGTTTTGTTTTAATAATTGTGTTTTTATGATTAATATGATCATTAATTTATTTTAATTGTTGTTGTTTCTTTTTTTAGCCAAAGGTCGTACTAATTATGAATTACATCCTGAAAGTTATGCTTTACGTGATGGTGTTGCTCAAACAATGACATTATTTAAACCAAGACTTGTTACTGTTCATCGACCAACATGCCTTTTTCATCAACAACAATTAGCAGCAGCTGGAACATCGAAACAATCACCTGTTACAACACCAATTCGAGTAAAATTTCATTTTGTTTTGTATTTTTTTCTTTGATTAATCCTAACTACTTGGATTTTTAAAGGGAGCAAAAGATAAATCTCGACGAACATCATCAACTGTTTCTTTAAAACAACAACAACAAAATTCAACATCTATTGGTGATTTATCTGTATCAGGTGATGATCTTTCAACATCACCTCATGTTCTTAGTAAGAAAAATTATTTCTAAAATAAAAATGATTTTGTAATAATTTCATAAAATTAAATAGGTGACTCCGAAGCGAAACCATCACATATACCAATAGCTGTAGCTGCAACTACTCCAGTAACATCAACATTGAGTCGAACATCAAGTCGTGAAAGTGTTCTTTCTGAACATTCAATTGCATCAACATCTTCACAACAACGACGACCAAGTAAACTTCCATTACCAATATCACGACATAAAAAGACAACCAATGGTACAACACCAGTAAAAAATTCTTAAATTAAAAAAAAGAAGAAAAAAAAGAAAGCCAAAGACATAATAATTATTTTATTCATTTATGTTCTATTTTTTCTTTATCTTCCTAGTCATAATCATATTCTCTCTCATTTATTATCATTCACTCATGTTTAGATCTCTTAAGTGTATGCTCTAAGCAGCGCTTGGTTTTTGTGCTTTTTTTTGCTCTTTTATGTTTTCGCATTTTTTTTGTCTTTTCTTCTTTTATAGCTGAATATCAACTACATTCTTTTTTTCTTTGTTCTGTTTTTGTTCATTTCATTTATTATCTCTCCTTTGCTATTTGCAATGATGTTGGATTTCTTCTTTTTTTGTTATTAGAAACAAAAAAAAACGGGTGGCTATGGAAAAAAAACTAAATATATGCATATTAAAAATTTCAATATTTAATTTTGAAGCGCAATGATATCGATCATTTTGAAAAGTTATAACTTGATCAAAGCGCACTATTCATGTCGGTCCTATGACGATCATGACATCGCAATGTATCACTACTCATAATTCTTACCATCTGTCATAAATTTATATCGGAACAAAAATTATAAAAAACTGCATTAAATTATTTAAACATTCGGCAACATTTTCAAGCCATTCAGGTTTTGAGAAAGACTTTGGAATGTTCTGAAATTTTCTAGACTAGTCTAAGTCTTGTTGTTAATGTCGTTCAGTGGCTTCTTTCATTGCTCATAATGCCCTCTCCTGCTGCTAAGAAAGCAATACTCATGAGCCTTTGATCTTTGAGCTCTGTTCCGATGAGGTGGAAGCCGCAGAACCTCTACTTCAAAGTTACATTCACTATGTATTTTATTCTAAAAACATCATGTGAAAGTATGGGTGCGGGTATTTGACTGTAGCAAAGACCTATACCATCATCCACTTATTAATTACGCAATGTTATCCTAGCTAAACACTCAACTAATATCGAATCTTTTTTTTTAAATGTCAGCAATCATTTTTCGACTAACTCCACCATTCATAGCTATCGAATTCGGATATTAGTCATGCGATAGAGTAGTAGAGAGCATCTGCTTGTATGCGAGCCATTCGGATTACAAAAGATTTCTATATATATCTTTGCAAACCACTATCTTTTTCGACACATCACTCCCATACTTCCCATAGTAACATGACCTCAAATTATACCATAATGTAGCCCGACTCTTGCTCTATTCACCATAAAATTTTTACATCATTTGACCTTTTTCTTAAAAAGTTACAGGTTTTGTAAGATATCGAATAATATGATATTTCACATGCTAAATCAAAATAAATTACGCATGAAAGTACATATTTTCGACGGTATTGAATCTAATACCATGGTCGTCTTTGAATTTTTGAAAGCTTCAAAAACATATCGTCGTACACCTTGGCTATTCTGTTTTTTTAGCTATGAATAGTGAAACATTATGTTGTTCGTTGCGAATGGTTTGTTAATTCAAGGTTACTACAGTCTAGTAATAAGTAAACTGAACTAATCATCTAAAGTGGTGATTATATATACATCATTTTGAACGCTCAAAAAAATGCCAGATAATTATCAGTCAAATAGAAAGAGAACGAAGAAGGAGTACAGAACAAGGAAGTGAAAATGCATTTGGATAATTTGAACGCAAATAAAGAAAAGACAAAAATATACAGCGGATATGTTTTTCATACGTGTTAACAGAACAAAAGAGAAAAACAATAGAAAGTATACATACTTGTGATAATGTCATACTGCATAACAATGCATGACAATATTAAACAGGAAAAAATCAAATATCGAATAGACAAGCCGTCAAGAAAGAAAAGTTGAAGAGTAGAGTTACGACAAACTAAAATATATTCCTTTTTCTTCTCCACAGGTATAATACATATGTCAGTTTTCTAGGTCTTGGATTGAAGGTTCTAATGAACTCCTAAAAATCGAAAATTGCCTGTGGTGACTAAGTGCGCTGCATGGTTTGTCAAAATTTCAACTAAAACACACTCAATAAAACTTGCCAAAAAGTTCGTATTGCATGTTTCGATGCGTTCTCATCTCCTCTTGTTAACACTGGAAATTGTAGGTCGGTATCTGCATTCTATCGAAATTTATTAGAAAAATGCCCGTGGCTATTCTATTTTGAAATGGATAGTAGTTATGTTGTTGTTATATTAAGTAGAGTAGTTGCGAACAAGTAGATAGTAAAATATAGACAATAAGTTTTAATTAGTCACAACAGACTAACATATACTGTCTATGTAGATATATTTACTGAGTAAAAAAATAATGCTATCTTAGATTTATAAGAAAAATCGTGCCCCATCTCCATTTCAAAATCCTACATAAAAGATGATGAAAACCGTTCATATGAATTAGCGGCATATTTTACACATTTACAATTACAACCAATACATAAAATAATGACATTAAAATCTGCACTTAATCGAGCATGTAAATTAAAAAGTTATAAAACTGCAACAAGTTTTGCGAAACGTTTATTAGGATTAGGACCAATACCTGATGTTACTCAACAGGTATTTCGTCTTTTTCCTATTAAAAAATAAGCCCATTGGTAATCAGTCTATTACTCCAATGAGAAGAAGTCCTAAGAGTCCAAATAATATACAGATCAGTTTGACCTCTACCCGCAAGTGATCTCTAACAATAAGTTTTTTTCAACAATAAGGCAGAGGTGCAGAATCTTCCTCGTGCGCCCTCGCGCAGGAGGGGAAATTTTTTGAAAAATTGCATTACTCGGGGAAATTTTGGAAAATTCCCAGACTGGGAAAATTTTGAAAAACTATTAGAAGGGAAAACCTTGGCCTCGTCATAATTAACTGTTACAGGATATAATTTATTCTTTCAAGCTTTTCGCTTTACTTATATGCTTTATTCTTGATCTTGCCAAGAACACACACATTGCTATCGAAGTATAACATCTTGGCAATTCTTTTGCCACAAATTTCTTTGCACCCTTTTATCGCTTGCTGTACTGTATCGTGACCGAAAGAAGGAATGTTAACGATTTGTCCAACATGGATAATTCCATTATATGCTAGTTCTTTTCCTATATGTTGTGTTGGTTTTTTAGTCCTGCCTCAACAACTACTTCTTTTAACTGAAGGACAAATATTGGATTTTCTTCAAAAAAACAGAACAACATCGTCTATTCAAATTAGTTTCACCTGGTTCAGTTGTTTTGAACCGCTTAAGACAAGAACAAGTAGCAAGAATTCGTATGTTGTACGAACAGTGCCAAACAGAACAAAATATTGCCATGTTTTTTTTACTTATATTTTGGGACAAATAAAGTTGGTCTGTGAGCGGCGAAGAAAAAACAGCTTAGGGAAATTTTTGGAGAAAATTTCCGCGGAGGGGGAAATTTTTTATTTTTTGGAAGATTCTGCACCTCTGAGTTGATGTTTGTCATCGTCATCGTTATCGCCGAATAATTCAATCTGATCGTGATCATTCTCGATCTTCAACAACATTAGAATCGAATTCGTCGAAATGAAGAATGTATTGAAAA